TACCGAAGTTCAGCATTTTTGAGTACATGGCTATTGAAATAGATCAGAAGCTGGACGTCATCTCGTTCAGCAAGGAGAACAACACTGAGAGCATGATCTGAGACGACTAAGTACATGTACAGCGTCTCTCTAAGAAGAGGACTAACGAGCCTCGGCAAGGAGTGCAAGTGCTCTTTCAGTTTCTGGAAGGTCGCCTCAGTATCATCCCCCATTCAAATCTAGTCTTCTTCCTGGTTGCTTGGAAGAAGTAAAGGCATTTGTCACCTGACCGGCTAAGGAATCTCCCCAATACCGCCAGAGAACCAGTTAATTTTTGAACTTCCTTGACAGTACAAGGTGAATTCATGTCAATTACCGCCTGTATCTTCTCGGGGTTAGCCTGTATCCCCCTTTGATCAATCAGGAATCCGAGAAACTTCCCAGACTCAACACCAAAGATGTATTTCTTAAGATTCAACATGACCTTATGCCGCCTGAGGGTGGTGAATGTTTCTCCGAGATCAGCAAGATGATCCGTCTGTAACTTGGATTTGACTATCATGTCATTAATGTACGCCTTCACATTCCTTCCAATTTGATTAATAAAGACCGTATTAATCATTCGTTGGAAAGTGGCAGGCGCATTCTTCAAGCCAAACAGCATCACCGTATAACAGAATATCCCCTGATTAGTGATGAAGGTCGTCTTCTCTTGATCTTTTTTTCCACAGGGGTATCTGATGGAAGCTAGAATAGGCATCCATGAAGCTCATCAAGGCGTGGCCGGCTGTAGAGTCGACCAGACTGTAAATCTTTGGAAGCGGATAACTATCCTTGGGACACACCTTGTTGAGGTCTGTGTAATTAACACACATACGCTAGGTACCATTCGGCTTCTTTACAAGCACAACATTGGCCACCCAGTTGGGGAAATTACATGGTCGAATGAACCCAGCGTCTAGAAGCTTTCTGACTTCGGTAGTTGCCGCCTGAATTCTTTCCTCGCCGTGATTTCTTTTCTTTTGCAGAATGGGCTTCTTTTTTGGATCAACGGAGAGTTTGTGGACAGCGAGATCCGGGCTGACGCCTGACATCTCTTCCACTTCAAAGGCAAAAATGTCTTTGAATTCTTTCAGCACAAGGTGCAAGTCTACACCCATCTTAGCATAAGTAGTCGTCCCTACCTTAACAGTTTGCTCTGGACGGCTATCATCCAGAGCGAGATCAATGTGCTCTCCAGCTGGCTGGGGACAAAGCTCGTCTGACTACTCTCCGGCCAGTGATTGATATTTTTTCTCTTTCTTCACCTCCACCAGCCGAGTAGATTTTCTTTTCTTTCCGGCTGCTGGTGGAGCTAGGCTGGCATCCTTGACATTGTTAAGGTCTATTGGATCCTGCTCTTGGCCGTCTGGGGCCACAGTGTCTTTGACGGCTGAGAGGTAGCACTCCCGAGCCGTCTTCTGGTCCATGTTCAGGGAGCCAACAAAGCCATCATCCGTCTCATACTTGATGAGCATGAGAGAAGGGATGATTACAACCTTGGCTTTGATGAGGGTTGGTCAGCCTGAGATGATGTTATAGGCGGTCAGTTCCTCAACAACTAAGAATTTGACGACCATGTGTAGTCCTTTTCCTTTTTCTCCCAACCGGATAGGTAAGTCGATCCTACCGACTGGGTAAACCATCCCACCCCCAAACCAACCAAGGGGTGGGTAACTGGATGCATGCTGATGAGTTTGTATTTCAACTTTTGCAAGCACCGGAGACAGATGATGTCCGACGAGTTGTCGGTGTCAATAAGGATTCGCCCAACCAGCTGGTTGGCAACCTTACATTCAATGACGACCGGGTCGTCATAGGGATGGCGGACACTACCCCTGTCCTTCTTAATGATCAGGACGTCTGGGAAGGAGGAGCTAGCTGACGCTTGCTCATCATCATCCTTGTCCATCTTTCGAAGATGGCTCTTGGTGCCCCAGATGGTAGGGCCACCACATGACAACCCGCCTGCTATGGTGTAAACCGACTCCTTATCGGTGTCTGAACTACTAGTAGGCTGGGGTGTCTTGGACGACTGCCCCTTGTTCTTCTTATTAGTCCCTTTTGACTTAGAAATGTAGGAATTTAACATCCCCTTGTCAGCCAGATGTTCCAACGTCGTTGAAGGCTAAAGCAGTCATTGGTGTCATGGCCAACTTCCTCATCGTATTGGCAGAATTTGTTCTTGTTCCGTGACTGGACGGAACATTTCATTGGGTTCGGCTTCTCAATAGTCAGCTCGTCCTTTATCTCCATGAGGATGGAGTTGCAGTCCTTGTTAAACTCGTACATGGGGACGTAGAGTTTAAACTCTCTCTTTTTCTTCCGGGACGGCTGGTCAGAATCACTAACCGCCCAGACTTCTTTTCTCTTCTTGTTGTCTTCTTCCTTTTTTTCCCGCTCAGCAGACCGACTTTCTTTTTGTTTGTCAGACTTCTTGGAGTTTGATTGGCTACCAGGCATGCATAGGTCGGTTGCTTGAATATAGCTTTCCGCCTGCATCGTAAATGCCCCTTTTCTGACAAGGTCAAACTTAAAGTTTGACTCGTCTCTCGGATCCTTGAAGAAATCCGTGAATGCTACTTCGTCAGACAGCCCCCAGATCTGGATTCTGACCAGGTTGAACCACCTGACATATGAGCATAGCCCTTCTCTCTCACCCTTCTTAACGGTGCTCAAATCAAGGCTCGTTTTCTTAGCAGGGATGTTCATTGAGAAGTTTGTGGCAAACAAAAAGGCTAGCTTCTTGAAGCAATCAATAGATCCGGCTGGCAGGTTGCCAAACCATTGTTGGGAAATGCCCTTCAATGTAGCCGGGAAACATCGACACCAAGTGGCATCGTCCCACTCCTGTAGACACATGAGGTTGGTGTATGCCATTAGGTGGTCTTCTGGGTTAGAGGTACCATCATAAGTACCTACCAACACATTCTTAACCTTGGCCGGCTGTGCCGCCTTGGTTATATTCCCGGTGAACACAGAAGGTTGTTCACCGAGTTTGAGCAGTCGAAGCTGCCAGTCCAAAGGTTGGACGCTGTTGAATGTCGCCTGACCTCCGAAGGGAGGTGGCTGAATAAATGGGAGGCCATATTGCCCATATTGCGCCTGAGGTGCAAATAGGGCAAACCCTATCATCATCTGAGGGTCGGTGTGGACGGACTTGTCGTCTGTTCGACTCTCATGTAAGGACAATGAGTTCCTTACAAAAGTTTGTTTGAAGCTGTCTGGAAAGATCAAGGTGGAAGCTGACTCAGACAACTGCTGGTGTCTCCTCCGCTCAATGATTTGTCGAGCGTCGGAAACAGATTTCTTTGTGGTTTCCGGCTGCTCGTGTCGGGTGTGCCTCTTAGGACCCTTTGGTAAAAGGATCTTGGTCCAGTCAAGTCTTGCGCTGCCCTCTCCTTTTCCTTAGGGTGAGGAGTAGGATGCCTGTCCTTGACCGGCTTCTTCCTCCTAGATGGAGGAGTCTTTTTAACTGGCTGACCCTTGCTGGGGCCAGCCTTGTTTTTGTTGAACATTTCCTTAATTTCACCCTTGAAGGAGTTCTTGAAATTCATGAGTTCGTCCCAGGTGACAGGGGTTGATCCTCTAGCCTTCTGGGTTTCCCCTTCTGGCCTCCCAGTGGGCCTACTTCGATCCGCCTGGTGTGTATCACGTTCCAGCTGATCTCTAGAACAGGTGTATTTGGAAATGAATGAGCCATCTTTAGCCACATACATCTCCACATTGTCATCGTCTTCGTCATCATCTTGGTCAGTAAAGACCTCCGGCTGATGTACCAGTTGAGGAATGCCTGAACTACCCGGTTGATGAACCGGTTGAGGAATGCTTGTATTACCCGGTCGGGTAATAGGTTAAGGGTTGCTTGGATCAGGAGGTGGTACAAACTCTTAAACCATCTTTGAGGTACTCTCCCCATAGACGACACCAAATGTTTTTGGTGTTTTTGTCCCTTGGGAGAGTTACGTCACAAAGTCTGGTCCGGCGTGAACTGTACCTGCAAAACAACGGAGACTTCGGTTGGCTGGAGCTCCGCCTCCGACGATCAAGTTAGTAACTTGAATAGGAGTAACATGGTGCGAAAATTTAGGTGGGTATCTGCTCGGATTCCAAGCTCGAGATGTCTCTATGAAAGAGTAATTGTGTAATAAAATGGTAAAACGTGCCTCCAAATGGAGGAAATCTCCCTATTTTTAGGGTCCTTCAGAATTGTGCCCCTGATTAGGTCATCGAGCCCTTATCATTGGTGGGCTGCGCCGCATTGCGACTTTCTCGGGATTTGGGCCATGAAGGCCACCTTTTTCCCATTTCTTTAGAATGCCACATGTCATACAGGGGTTGGTTCATTTTGGACTAACCCTAGGCTGACACGTGTCACTTTCTTATTGGACGTGGTAAGTTAAAATTACCCCTAACACTTTACATAAAACCTCTAATACCATTTGCGGTTCTATATAAAGAACCGCTAGTAAAAGCTAAAGTAGAGGTTTTATGCACATATAGAACCTCTAATGGTATTAGCGGTTCTATAATAGAACCTCTAATGGTATTTGCGGTTTTATATATGGAATCTCTAATGGTACTAGCGGTTCTATATATGGAATCTCTAATGGTACTAGCGGTTCTATACTTTCAAATTCCAAACCTAGTAACCGATCCTACGTGGATAGTATTGTAGGAAGTAGTTTTTAAACCGACTTATATAAGGAATTAATTTGTATTTTAGCATTATTTAGAGAGATCACTCCAATTTTTTTAATTCAACTATAAAAATAGATTTTTTATTTTATTAATTTATTTTCTTAAAAAAGCAGACTTGTACTGGTATATGTTGTAAATTTTTTGTAGATAACTTGTACTGGTATATACCCAAAGTTGACTCATTGACGCCAAACCAGTGTAGTTCTGTAATCAGTTCCTTCCTTCTCTGAACAGATTTCTTTTTTAACTCATTAATTAAATTATAAAAATTAATAGATAACAAATACAAACCCAAAAAACAGCTTTATTTATTTTGATGATATTTATATACTTGAACAAGCCCAAAATTCTCCCACCTTCACTCTCTCTCTCTCTACTTTCTCTCTCTTGGGGTTTTGGCTTTCACAGCAAGCTCTCCTTTTGAGTCGATCGCCCTCGTAAAGCCCTAAATTCTCCTTAAATTTCCTTTTTTATTTCAGAATTTGATCAAGAATTTCAAATTCTGGAGTTTAATTCTGTTAATTTGCAGATTTTTTTGTTGATTTTTCGCGTTTAATTTGGCGGTAATTTAATGGAGGATTATGCTGATAGTGATAATGATTTTTATTATGATGATGGTGAAGAAGAAGATGATCGCGATTCTTTGAATTTAATTGAAGATGCTAATATTGATGTTTCCCTCACTAATCGCTCTGGTTCATCAATCAAGGTTTTTTTTTTTTTTTAATTTTTTTTCTATTTATTATTATTTTTTTAAATTTTATTTTAAAAATTTGCTATTCTCAATTTTGATTTCTTGTCTAATCTCTTGAATTAGGGTTTGTTTAATTATTTGAGGATGATTTTTTTCAAAAAAAAAAAAAAAAAAAATTTAGGGCAACTTTTCCTGATAAATTTTTAATGTAGTTGACAAGTGTTAAATTTTAATTTTATTAGCTTAGAATTCGAATTGGTATTGATCTTAATTTCTGCTGCATTTCTCTTTTAACTATGAGTTTGCAGGTTTTTTTTTTTTTTTTTTAATTTTACTTTTATTCTTTTGCACCACCGAATTTTGAATGCATCTCCTTTTTAGATGATGTATGCGTTAATTTTACTTTAAATATTTGCCCTAAAATCTCATTGATGGTATTCTTTTAATCTAATTCTGTTTTATCTTGTTTTTTAAGTGGCAACTTTTGTTCAGTTCGTCTCACTTTGTTTAAGAGTTGTATCTGGAATTTAATTTCTGGTTTTGGGTTTAGTTTCTTTGTTCTCAATTCATGAACTATTTAAAATTACAAAGAGTGTTGGATATGATTGGCGGTTGTTATTAGTCAAATTATGGAAACAAATTATACTTTTTTTTAGCTTCGAATTTGAGTTGATCTTAATTTCTGGTGCATTACAAAGAGTGTTGGATATGCTTGTTAGTCAAAATATGGAAAAATAAAAGAAAAATTTAAAAAAAAAAAATTAAAAAAAAAAAAAAAATTAGCTTCGAATTTGAGTTGATTTTAAATTCTGGTGCGTTATGTTTTTACAGAGATGATTTTTTCATAAAACTGTGAATTTTGAATCTATTTCATAATTTTGTGAATGTGAATGTTGTTGCACTTTATAGCGTTTTTGTGTTAAATTGTTCTTTGGTTTCTAGTTTATGTATAAGCCTCTGCTTTTTTCTCCATTTAAGTTTCTTATTTACCTTTGAGGAAAGATACCTATCAAAACATTAAATGTAAGAAAAGGTAAAAATTGAATGTGGTTTGTATAATAGCTTAAATTTTGCTTTAACTGATCTCTTTTTGTTGCTTTGACACTATGTAGGTGATCAGAAGGGATTCACTTCGAGTAGCGCAGGTTAGCATTTATCCCTTTGGCTCTTTCTCTATGTAGCTTTATATGTTGAAATGTTTTTATGGTTTGCATCTGTTGCTTGGAAATTGAAGATTTTGAATCTGGTACTGTTTGTTGCAGACTGAAGACTTGCATAGAATAATGGATCTGTTGTCGTTGAAGGAGCATCATGCAAGAACCCTTCTTATACATTATCGTTGGGATGTGGAAAAAATATTGGCAGTGCTTGTGGAAAGAGGAAAAGAACAATTGTATGTGGAAGCTGGTGTCAGAGAAACAGAACATGCTAATATTCCTTCTTCTTCATGTTCTTTTCTTGATTGTGACATTTGTATGGAAGAACATCCTGCCAATAAGTTTACAACAATGGATTGTGGCCACTACTTCTGCAATGATTGTAAGTATCTTTGCTGATGACAGTATGTAGAGCTTATATTGAAATTTTTTATTCAGGTATGAATAGCAACAAATTGTGATTTTTACGTGTTAAGCATTTCATACTACTTTATTATGATACAGTAAATATCACTCTAGCTATTCAATTGAATTTGTAGATGATAACCAATCTCATATTGTAAAAAATGCAAGAGGTTAAAATTCATAGACTTTTTTTTTTTTTAATGTTTTTAATTAAAAGTTTGCTCCGTTTGTCTTTTAGGATTCTAGTCTTCGTTATCACCAATCTTCTTTTCTCACTTCTATTTACTAGCTATGGACTGTGGTTATATATTTGTTTCAACTTTTATCTTTTATTTTCTTATTTTGGTTTCAAAGTTGCCTTCAGAAAATTTCTCTTCATGTGCTCGTGTTTTATTTCAAACTTCAGCTTCTCATAATTCTCTGAGTGGAAAAATATAAATATGGTATGGCCATTAAACAACATAGTGGTAGAATACTTTGAAGTGCAGCAAGGAAAATCCATTTTTTTGCTGTTCGAAATAGCTGTTTCTATTGATAGATATGTTTATATTGCCTTTTTTTTTGCAGATCTATTTGTTGGATATTGGTCTAAGTCTGGTCATTCTTAGGCATAGTCATATGGTAATAATGATATTGCTGTCTAACCTCAGTAACTCTTGATGTTTTTTTTTTTTGTTTTTTTTACTTCGTAATAAATAATCCCCATGGATGAACAGCCTGTCTCAAACATTTGGAAGCCATGTGTTAATTATAGGTTTTGCTTAAATTATTAGGAATTATCAACTTTAATTAATTTTGGAATGAATAAACTTGTCCAAAGCGTAGTTACCAGATTCACTAGTATGAGATTTGCTACGGGTTCACAATTCACTATCTAATTTGTTAAATTTAACCAAAAACTTGTATATTACAATTTGCTTTTTCCGGTTTGCTTTTGCGGGGTGATTGGTGAATCTGGTATCACTGCTTTAAAGTACTAATATTTACTTTATATCATTGATGATCACCTTTATAGGATTCTTTGAAACCAAATAATAAATTAACAGTGTGTTTGGATTGAAATTTGGAGGGAAAGAAAGGGAAATGGAGGGATATCGAAGGGAAATTGATGGATATCTTTCATTTGGATTACAAATGAGGAAGGAAGGGAGGTGGATGGGAGAGAAATAGTGGGATTAAATTGTAAGAAATTGATCTCTCCAAAAATGAAGAGGTTTGGAAGGAAGACTTATCATTTTTCCCTCTCTCCCCTTTTACTTCCTTCCCCTTCCCCTCCCTCTTCTTCTTTTCATTACCCTTTCTTTATCCAAACACACTGTAAATCTTTCTATACAATTTTCTTCAGCAACTTAGTTGCAATGGAAATGGAAAATTGTACTGAAACAACTGTGCCTAACTGCTTCAAACAGAAAAATCCCCATTGCACCACTCACCTCTGCCCATTGCACCACTCACCTCAGCTACACACTCACCCACGCTATGACCACTCACAAGGCACACTGCCTGCTAGAATTTGATTTATTGACAAACTGGAGATCGTGAGCTAACTGAAGATGTAGTATATAGAAAGCTTATACTTGGTAAGATATGTGAGGGAGGAAAAATTAAGCTGTTTTATATTGGTTTGGGGATATTATTGTGGTAACAATGAGTTCACATTAAATATATTTAGTTTAGTGTTGAACGTAGAAATTTTGTTTGCCAAACAGCTGTAAAATAAATTAAGGGAAAGACTGTACATGTATGTTAAAGAGTGAAGATCAAAATGAGTACATGTTTTATGCTCATTGGTGATTAGTAATTGCTGACTTGCTGTGTAAACATTAGGAAGTTGATGGTGTTTGTTGGGAGGAGAGAGAGAGAGAGAAGATAATCAATTGGAATTGGGAGTTGGGATGAGCCAAAGAGATGAATTGTCGAAGGCAAAGGATTGGAATTGGGGTTTACTACAGTGGTTGCTTGAATATCACAAAGTTCATTTGATTACCCCAAAAAAACTTTAGTGAACAATAGGTGCTCTTTACAAGTTTGGGGCCCTGAATAACTCTGCTCGTTGCATCTGGCTATTGGCCGGCCATGTAGATGACTACCTTGGGTCTAGTCAGGTTTATAGCTACTTGTTAAAGCACCCACCAAAATTATTTTGTAAAGAGAGTTATTATGCAGTGATGTGTTTACTTTTTAGATGGGTTAATAGTGGCTTGAGTTTGTTAAACTTTTCCAACGATACCTGAACTGAAATAACTGTATGGTTCCCTTTTTATGTGTAGAAATTAGGAAGTATTTGCTGTGGTGTTTGTAGGGGAGGTGAAGGTAATTAAGAAGCTTTAATACCTCCTTCGTCCCCAAATCAAAGTCGTCCTTGCCTTTTGCAATTTTTTGTAATATTGTGAATAGAATAATAAGAAAGTGAGGTTTGTTTGATTAAAGGTGAATATAAAAAAGATATTAGGCTTTGGTTCATTAATAGTGGATAAACAAGAGAAAAAGATAGAGGGGTTGGTTGGTTATAACCAAATAAAGAAATAGATAAAAGTAAAATGAAATTGATATTTATACGAAGTTTTTGGGTGGAATAGAGCTTTTATTTGGGGGCACAGGTGAATAACTTTTTTTTTTTATGATGTCTGAAACTATTTTTTTCATTTCCTCTTCCCATTGACTAAGAACACCTCAAATTTCTTTATCATGATTAAACCAAACTCTTCTTATACCCCGACCACCTAACCAACTCCTTAATAACCTCCCTACTATGTGTTCATTCCATCACCTCCATCAACTTAATACCTTTTGACTTCCCCTCTTATAAGTCTTATAACACATACAATAGAGCTGCACATGTGTTGGGTACCTGAACTGATGATGTTATCAGTCAAATATTTGATCACCATTAAACTGAAATTCAATACTTACACAGGTACTAGAATATTTGAATTTGGTGTCAGAAACCTAATACCTAAATTTTATGTAATTATTAACAATTTAAGGGTTTAGGCTTTTGAGAAAAAAAGAAAAAAGGTTTTTGGGCAACCAAAACTTTTTAAAATGATAATGACGCGGGTACCCATCCAATATATATTTCAAACCACTCTTGCAGATTTTCATATGGTTTGGGTACACAACCAGTCCCTTACACTGCGTCCTTTAACAAAACAGCTCCAATCAACCCTATTCAGTAACCACCAATATATAACTCCCCTTGAAGCCTTCCACAACCCAGCTCCTATAAACCTACCAAGCATGAAGCAAATTTTGCTATTTAACCACCACCAGCTATAAAGGTGATGTAGTAAAAATAGAAGAGAGAAAAGAGCTCATTTATAATTGGACACATACTTTGTGTAAGTTTGTGTGATGGTTGGGGGTGGGGTAGGTGGTCAACTTTAAGTGTACTACTCTACTTGCTCTCTATGATCATCACCTAACGTTTTTTTGGAATGTGAATATGCTACTATAACAATGCATATGTTGTGCTGTAAATATGATATCCTATTTAACCAAACATATCAGAGCGTATCCAGATTTGAACAATAGAGTACTCAGACTCAGATACAGTAACATGTCAATATGTGGTTATTTAATGTGCTAGTCAGTGCTTTATTAGGATGAGTTAATGGCCTTTGTTAATCTCTAGCTCCATTTTCACCTAAGGCTTTCGGAGTTTCGGATTAATTAAAAGAATATTTTGCTTGTTTTAGAGTTCCTAACTTGTGAATGTAGCTCAATGAACTAAGGCCTTGTTCACCTTACCTTAATCAAATAATATTCAGAAGTATAAATTTTTTTTTATTTAAGCTAAAATAAGTCTAATTCAGTGTAGAGAAGTTTTAATTAGTATATTGAAAGAACAAATATAATAAAGATTTAGTAAAAGTAAGTTTTAATAATTTAAAATAATTAAATTTCAGTAAAAATAATATAATTCTATTTATATCAATCTTATTTCAGTGAAATTGGTTTCAGTTCATCAATAATAAGGTGAAGAGAAAATGCCTACAGTGGGTAAATGTTTGTGGGTATTGTTAAAAAAACTAAGTTGTGTCAAAAAAAAAAAAAAAAAAAAAAAAAAAAACTAAGTTGTTTCCTGTGGGTACTAAGATTAAAGTAGTTATAGGTGGGGATGATTTCAATAAAAAAGGAGGGGGGGGGGGGTGGCGATGAGCAAATCGCAAGGTAGTGCAATGTGATTGTTCGCATGTAATTCAACTTATGAATTGTAGAAAATTGGTGATTTGTCTAAGTTTCTGGCTGCATATCTTCTTGATCCTTAAAAGGCTGTAACTTTTCTATATTTTATTTTGCAAAATTTTGCACATTGAAGCTTGCTCTTTCTTATGTCTTCTTTAACCAACTAACATAATTTTACCTTTCTGCTATTTTCTGATAACTAGGCTGGACAGAACATTTTATTGTGAGGATAAATGAAGGTGAGAGTAGACGAGTTAGATGCATGGCACATAAATGCAATGCTATTTGTGATGATGGAAAAATAAGAAATTTGGTTATTAAGAGAGATTCTGTGGCGGCTGAAAAATTTGATCGCTTTCTTCTGGAGTCCTACATAGAGGATAATAAAAGGGTTAAGTGGTGCCCAAGTGTTCCCCATTGTGGAAATGCTATACGTGTTGAGGAGGATGATTATTTTGAGGTTGAATGTGCATGTGGTCATCAGTTCTGCTTTGGCTGTTCATCTGAAGCACACTCTCCTTGCTCCTGTTTGATGTGGGAGCTTTGGATGAAGAAGTGTCAAGATGAATCAGAGACAGTCAATTGGATCACAAGCCACACAAAGCCTTGTCCTAAATGTCACAAACCTGTGGAAAAAAATGGAGGATGCAACCTTGTTGTATGTGTTTGTGGCCAAGCATTCTGGTAAGCACTTCTGTCAGGCTCTTTCTGCCATTGCAGTGATTGTTTATGATCAACACCTGGTGATATCTAGCTGTTTTACTTCTTTCATAAAGAAAGATTGATATACATCATCTTTATCAGTAGCTTTAAATTCTGTCATGCTGTGTCATTTAAGTGTCGAGTCTGTACTGTAATTACCTATTTATCCATTTGACCAAGATTCAACTAGATTTTATGGTTTATGGAGAGACCTTGGGGTGATTATAAGTTGTAACTATGTATTGTTTCCAGCTGTGTATTTTTATTCTTTTTTTTCATTTTCTTTTTATAAGATTAAGGGCCCTATTGATGTGATTTTTAGTCCGAAAACTAAGCCTCACAAAGATATGAATCTAACCTAATTCTATACAGAAAATTCACCAAGAATTAAGCAAGAAACTTAGATTAATTAATCAAGAATCCACCTAATTAATCAACCTAGGTGATTGTTTTAACTAAAACAAACAAAACAGCAAATTGGAATCCACCAATCAAGAATTTAAGTAATCCAACTTAAACAAAAGCAATAAGAAATATTATTATGAATGTATGATTAAACTTGTATATTATTCGAAGATTACAACCCTATATTTATAAACTCAATCAATTATCCTAATCCCACTTGAATTAGAATTCTAATCCCCTAACAAAAACCCACGGATTGCATAACTTAATCAAGTTTAGATAACTTTGATTTAGTTATTTAATCCTACTTAAACTCTAACTACTCTTAAGATAAAACTTGCCTATTTTATCCTAACTCAAGCTTGCACTCCAAGCTATTATTGACGCCTACTAGACTAAAACAATTCCTAATGCAATTAGAAATCCTAAGTGCTTAAAACAAGAAAAACCCTTTCAAGTGAAAGGTAAAAACTTGTAAGCAAAAACCTAAGAAAGCTTTTAAAGAAACCTTAAAGAACTATCAAGAAGCTTCAAGAACTCCCAAGAACGCCACCATACAAAGCGTGGCTTTGTCTTGATGCCCCCGATAGTAAGTTTGACCTATTGAAGAAGCTTCCAAGTATAGATTCATGCTTTCTTGACTTTCTTGGAATAATTCTTCAACATGCTCATCGTTCACATTGATGCACGCATCATCCTCCCCTTCTTCAAAAGAATTTGCCCTCAAATCTTCAATAGCACCATCTGGCAAATACTTCACCAAATCCCCAATATTAAATGTTGCGCTTACACCATATTCTCCCGGCAATTCAAGCTTATATGCATTCTCATTGATCTTCTCAATAATCTTGAACGGCCCCTCACTTCTTGGCATCAATTTATTCTTTCGTTTGTTAGGAAATCTCTCTTTTCTCAAGTGTAGCCACACCAAGTCGCCAACTTCAAAACTTTGTGGCTTTTTGTTCTTGTTAGCTCGTGCTTTGTAGAGTTCATTGACACGTTCAATCCTAGCTCTAACTTGTGCGTGTAGCTTTATCATGTACTTGATTTTAGTCTCGGCATCCTTATGAATCACTTCCCCTTTTGGAATTTCAATTAAATCAATGGGCATTTTTGGATTGACACCATAAACAACTTCGAATGGTGTGTGTTTTGTGGCATAAGTAGGTGATCTATTGTAAGCAAACTCGGCATGAGCAAGCTTAATATCCCAATCTTTTTGTGTGTTGCTCACTAGTCCACGTAAAAGCACACCAAGAGTTCGATTTGTTACCTCCGTTTGTCCGTCCGTTTGCGGGTGATATGATGTACTAAATAACAGCTTCGTTCCCACCAACTTCCATAGTGATTTCCAAAAGAAACTCATGAACTTTGTATCACGATCACTCACAATATTGTTCGGCAACCCATGTAGTCTCACCACTTCCTTGAAATACAATTCCGCCACTTTCATAGCATCGTCCACTTTGTGACAAGGTATGAAATGAGCCATCTTGGAAAATCGATCCACTACAACCATGATTGAGTCCTTTCCTCTTTGAGTCCTTGGCAAACCAACTACAAAATCCATAGACACGTCTTCCCAAGGTGAATCTGGCACGGGCAAGGGCGTATATAAGCCTTGATGAAACGTAGCCTTGGCTTTTTGACATGTTGCACACCTAGAAACTATTGATTGTACATCCGCTAGCATTCTAGGCCAATAAAAATGCTCTTGCAGCATAGTTAATGTTTTCGTTATGCCAAAATGTCCCGCTATCCCTCCTCCATGCACTTCTCTTACTATTAATTCTCTAATAGAACACTTAGGCACGCACAAACGATTCCCCTTGAAAAGAAAACCGTCTTGTAAAACATAGGAACCTACGGCCCCCTTGGAACACTCCTCTAGGATTGTAGAGAAATCCACGTCCCCCTTATAGTACTCCTTGATTAACGCGAAACCAAGTAGTTTACAATTCAACACTCCAAGCAACGTGTGTCTTCTAGATAGTGCATCGGCCACTACATTTGCTTTCCCCTCCTTATACTTTGAAGAAAAATTGAAAGCTTGTAGAAACTCTACCCATTTAGCATGTCTAGGGTTCAATTTTTGTTGACCATGAATGTACTTCAAAGCTTCGTGATCACTATGCAACACAAAGTGATTTGGGCGCAAATAGTGACTCCAATGGTCCAATGCTCGCACAATAGCATAGAACTCCTTGTCATAGGTAGAATAGTTCAATCTAGCACCGTTTAATTTCTCACTAAAATAGGCAATAGGGCGCTTCTTTTGAACCAAAACGGCACCAATCCCTACACCACTAGCGTCGGTCTCTACCTCAAATGGTTGTGAAAAATCCGGCAATGCAAGTACGGGTGCTTCACATAGCTTCCTTTTGACCAAATCAAATGCACGTTGGGCTTCCTTGGTCCACTCGAATCTTCCCTTGTCTTTCTTCAAGCATTCAGTCATAGGTGCAACTATCGTGGAAAAATTCTTCACAAATCTTCTATAAAACGACGCTAGACCATGAAACGATCTAACTTCACTCACATTGGTAGGTACGGGCCAAGTCTTGATAGCTTCAACCTTGGATTGATCCACGGACACACCATCTTTGGATACTACATACCCTAGAAACGTCACGCTAGGAACAAGAAAATAACATTTTTCCAATTTTGCGTACAACTTCTTCTCCCTAAGAACCTCCAAAACGCTTCTCAAATGCATTAGATGATCATTGAAATTTTCAGAATAAATTAATATGTCATCCAAGTAAACAACTACGAACCTTCCAAGAAATGGTTTCAACACCTCGTTCATCAATCTCATAAATGTACTGGGCGCATTGGTTAGACCAAAAGGCATGACCAACCACTCATACAACCCCACTTTAGTCTTGAAAGCCGTCTTCCATTCATCTCCTTCCCTCATGCGTATTTGATGATAGCCACTCATAAGATCAATCTTGGAAAATAGCTTTGAACCATGCAATTCGTCTAACAAATCATCAAGTCTAGGTATAGGAAATCTATACTTGATGGTTATGTTGTTCACACTCCTACTATCAATGCACATACGCCAACTCCCATCTTTTTTTGGAACTAACAATGTAGGCACGGCACATGGGCTCATACTCTCTTTCACGTAGCCTCTTTGCATCAATTCCTCTATTTGACGTTGCATTTCCTTTGTTTCTTCCGGATTACTTCTATATGCTGCCTTGTTAGGTAGTGGAGCTCCCGGAATAAGATCAATTTGATGTTCAATACCACGAATTGGTGGTAATCCCGGTGGTAATTCACTAGGAAAAACATCACAATACTCTTGCAATACTACTTCTAATTCCACGGGCCTCTTTTCTTGTTTACTTTCATTCACTTGCACATTGTTAGCCACCATAATATATACTATATTGTTGTTGTTGATCTCTTTCTCCAACTCCTTTTCCCCAATTAAATATGCACCTTTTGAACTAGGGTTAATTCTATGATCAACAAGTGGTTTCAATGCATATGATTTTTCCCCCTTTCCTTTTCGAATTATATACACATTTGTCCTACCATTAAACTTGACAAATCTATCATATTGCCATGGTCTACCCAATAAGATATGACAAGCATCCATAGGGCATACATCACATAAAACTTTATCATGATATTTGCCAATTGAAAAGGTGATTAGGGCTCGTTTCGTTACCTTCACGTCACTAGCATCATTGAGCCAATGTAGCTTGTAAGGTTTTGGGTGATCGGTTGTAGGCCACTCTAATTTGTTGATCAAAGTTGTAGACACCACATTTGTGCAACTTCCCGAGTCTATTATTACGTCACACAATCGATCTTCCACCTTGCACCTTGTTAAAAAGATTTTCTCTCTTTGATTCTCTTCAACGGGCATAGGTTTAGAGTGAAGAGCTCTCCTTAGAACCAAGCTCTTTCCTTGCGTTTCACCATCAACCTCTTCGGCACTACCCTCCTCTTCTTCAAAATCACGTTCTTTCTCGACCACAACCTCCATGTCACTATTTCCCTCGCACCTAGCTTTCTCTTCTTCCCATTCTTGAGCCGTCATAGTGCGTTTTGAGTAGCAATTGCTTGCTATGTGGCCAACACTCCCACATTTGAAACATTTTCTATCTTCGGTCACCTTCTTGCTAGCTTCGTTTCTGGGTTTGTTATCTTTAGCATACGGATTAGGAGAAGTCCTATCAAAGGTAGGCTTGTCACTAGCCTTTGTGAACGTGCGTGTGAACGGTTTCACACTTGAGGTCTTCTTGGCCTTGAATTGTCTTTCAACCTTAATGGCCGCCTTGCATACTTCTTCAAACGAATAGTATTCGTGCAATTCAATCTTCTCTTGAACATTTTCGTTCAAACCTGCAATAAAACGTGCTATTTTGTGCTCTAGAATTTCTTCTAAATCACACAATAAACATAGTTTCTCAAACTCACACAAATAAGCCTCCACGGATTGATTTCCTTGCTTAAAAGTCTGCATCTTGAGATACACTTCTTGCACGTACTCATGGGGCACAAATTGACGCTTCATATATTTCTGCAATTGTGTCCAAGTAGTGATCTTGGATCGT